ACAAGAAATCTAATGGTAGAAAGAAAAGACAAAGCAAAACATTACAACTCTTAAGACAAAATCAATACTGGAAAGTTAAGACAGTCAAACAGGTTGAATTGTTGAAACGGGTGAAAGACTGGAATTACAGCAGTCATTTAACAAGAAGATAAAAATAGGAAAATATTTCAGTAGAAAAAAGAAATCAAACTAGTCAGCTTCACCTTATCACAAATTTCAAATAAATGTGACCTTCATCAGAATAAGACAAAAATGGACAATGTTACAATTAGAAAACAATAGTTTAAACTTCTGCTGATGAAAGCTTTCAAACCTCACAGTTCACTTGCTGTTTATGACTGTGATAATATGAAGCTTACTAATTCTAATTCTTGTTTTAGAAATACTTTTTCATGCTATTTCACAAGAAAACAATGCTGCAGTTCCCATACAGACAGTTATTGTGGAAACAACACTTAGACAACCACTGTCAAAAGTTGTGAAAATAGGTCTTAAATAGCAACCATTGAAATGCACACATTTTTCCAAGCGAAGTTTGGCAACAGACATTCCTAGAAATAAGACTGCATTCCTTCAAATTATAAATGCAGTTCAGAGTCAACAATTTATTTAAACATGAGAGAAATTTAAAAATATCCAAAGGCAAGAATCAAAACAGTTAAACAGATGTATAAACGATTGACTTTAAAATGCTGTAAGAACAATCCTGTACAGTAAACTCAAATTCTGATTACATTTATAAAAAAAAAAAAACCAAGATACATAGTAAGTGTATGCTACATCAGAAACTGTATATTCAAATTTGAGCATGGAATGGATCAACAGAGTACATTTTATTGCAATATTAACAATCACAGTTACTCGTTTATCATAAGAATTAATATACTGGCAGTTTACATTTAAGAATATATGGGCTGCATACGTAAGGTCAACAAATTTGCAAATAAAATAAATCTTTGAGTCAAAACATACAGACAATATGTTACCAATGTTTCCCTATCATAAATTTGAAAGAAGAAGACACAAACAACAGATTGCCAGGAATTAAATTTCTATCTAATGTTTGTGTTTTCTTTGTTAAAATCAGTCAAAAATCCTGACTCAAAGCAAGCTGACAATCAGCAATAAATCTATAAGAAAACAGACTGACGAAAAAGTCTTCTGAGTCAAACTATAAATCAGTCAAATGAAATTGGCAATCAGAAATTAACCTTTCAGTCACACCATAAATCAGTCAAACCAAATGGACAATCAGTAATATATTGCAGCATAAATCAGGTCAAACCAAATGGACAACAAATAGTAATAAATCTGTTTGTCACACAATTCTGTAAATCAGCAAATAAAACAACCCACAATCAAGATCAACATCCACCATCAGACAAATGCAGCCATCCTGCTCTCAAGTGATTACAGGTTTGAGAATAAATACTTGTGTAGTTTATATTTAAAAAAATGCTTCTGGTTAAACTCTCCTTATCTTGACCAAACACCCATATAAAACCCTGAACATAAATCCACTTATTCACACACACACAAAAACAGAACCAAATAAAAAGCAATTCTGTTATCATCAGACAAAAGTATCGTGGCAATATGTTAGACTCATCATTTTGAGGACAGAATGGTTGTCTACGAATGATATGCTGGCTTCCATTGTTAATATGTGATTTGTGCTACAAGGCATTACAGTTTTAACATATGATTGGCAGCTGAGCCAGGGCGCTTAGTATGCTGGGATGTTGTGAAAGACTCTTAAATCAATCTTCTTCTAAGTCTCTCTCTATATATCTTAAAGTTTCTATTTTCATGTTGTACACTCTTGATGCTGACATTTGAGGATTTATTCTTATTAGATGGCCAAGCTATTCACTAAAACTGAAGTCATGCAGGTCAGCAAGTGAATTTTGTTTGTTTAAAGCAAGTTAAAGAATTTAAATATCTTCTTCTTCAGCATTCCGAGCCCTTGCGGTTTATTGCTGCAAATATCACCTGCCTCCATTCATCTCTCTGGTTAGCCCTCTCTTTCTAGTTCGTGACACCAAGTGTTTGCAGGTCTGTCTGGATATTATCTCTCCATTGTCTTCTTGGTCTGCCTCGTGGTCTACGACCATTTATCTCCCTGGTGTATACAGTTTTTACTTTTGTCATCTGACACTCTTTCAATATGCCCAAACCATTTAAGTAATTTAAATATCTAGGAAGTATATTTTAGGGGGACAGGATAAGATCAGGAAAAAGAAACAAGATGCCAATGAGCCAGTGCATTTATAAAGCAAATGAAACCATTATTAAGACAACCAAACATAATTACGAGTGTCAAGAAACAAATTACGAACTGCATTTTTATACCAACACTGCGCTAGCAGTGCCAGACTTTGACATTACCAAACACTAACCTATGTAAAATTAACACCTGTGAAATGAGATACCTGAGAAAAGCTGACAACTTAACCAAACCATCCGAGACACACTTAGAAGTGATATTGTCAGACAGATTGTAGTAAAAACACCAGGCAGCAAATTCACTGAGAAACAGAAGATCAAAAGGTCTGGTTATCTAGTAAGAATGCAGCCAGAACAACTACCAACGAGGATGCTACACATGAAAAGATCTGAGGTGAAAGCAAAAAGCTGCCCTAGGTGAACGCAGATTGATGCGTTAAAGAGCTTCGACATCAACATAGAATGGCAATAGCCATAGCTGCACATCAAGCAGTGGATTGCTTAATGGCAGAAGTGGAAACTGATGATGATGATGGTGTTTCTGGCATCCAGTTGAATACTTCTCTCATTATACAACCAAATAACTTCCAGCTTTGCATAATAATATACTTTCACCCCCCCCCCCCCCCCACCCCTTTCCAGTAATCAGATGCTCTATCCAGTGTATGTGCAACATTCCATCCAGGAGTCACATGTGTGAAACTACTCACTAGAATTCTAATCTACAGATCACAGGGAAGCTGCATGGTCTTGAGTGCTATAGGTTCCGGGTTCATTCCCCGGTAAGGGTTGGGATTTTTCTCGTGGACTTGGACCTGGTATTTCAGCTGGTCTCTGGGTAATGAGGTCAGATGCCCGTGTGCATTGTTGCGCATGTAAAAAATCCCTTGGCGGTTGGAAATCGAAAAAGTAACCTAACGGCGCTGCCCGGGCAAAATTTTGAGTTAAAGTATTTCATGATCCTCGCCGGTGCTAAAGAGCCTGTGCACTGTGCTGAGCTTCTTTCGACTCAGACTTGAGTTAGAAAATGAACAGAGCACTTATGGCTTAATACCTGTGTGCTATGATGTTGATCCGTTGTTCAAACTTCAAACTTCGACAGATCACATTATAATAATCTCAGCTCCAGGCACAAACGAACACTAAATCACAATGAGAGTCTATACAAACTATTTTATAATCATGCAGTTTTTCCAGGACAGCTTTTATGCAGCCAGTTTTGCAGTTTTCAGAAGCAGAAATGTAACACGCACTACAACATGGGATCCATTTTTTGTAATCTGCTTATCGGAGACCAGACAACTGATTCACTACCAACATGTAGAGCATCAGTTATATGATGTTGGACCTATTTGCAGAGACCAATCATCGCTCAGTGGGTGATGTGGTCCTCATCCTGTTAGCTGCCTTTAATTTACATGACCTTATCCAATTAAGATTATGTTGACCTGGAATCCAAGGTCAATTTAATTCTTAAAAATCCAGCTTAATTACAAGCTAGGCCTTTGCTGGATTATCTAGTGCTCCAACAACAACCGAAAAGTGGATCACAGATGCAAGAGTATACAGTTAGCAAACAAAATTATAAATGAATGCATTAGCCCCATAGACAACATCAACACAATCTTGCCATCCGTGAAACAACCCATTTTCGAATGAAAGCTCACTTTTCATTTAACTGATCTTACCAATTCTGAGTGCAGATAGTTATTTCGAGTCTGCAAGCTTAATAAAAACAAAATCTACCATTTTGCACATTTAAATGAATGACTGGGTAGTTGTTTAAAAAAAAATCTGAATAATTTGCAAAAGAATTTACAAACCACTTATTTGCACTTTTAGACGGCAATGTGAAAAAATAAGAATTTACTTTGATACAACTTGTTAGGTGTATATCAAAGGTATACAATTTAAACTACGTTGACTGAAGTGAGCTGGATTAAAATGTATACTATACAATTCTTATCTAGCCTTTCTTATTACAAAAACAACTGAACGCACTAATAAAAACTAGAAATTAAAAACAATTACAATGCAACTACTATCTCATAAAAATATGATGACAGTCTTCAAGACAGAAGTCAGATGACTGATCTAAATCAGTAACAGATATACATACAAACAATATTCACAGCCCAAGACCATACACTGCAAACACATATAACTATCTTGACAACATCAAATAAACTTCAGACTGTAAATATACCATGCCTTGCAATGTGATAGATTTATGTACTGTTGTTTTTAAATTAAGGGATGATGGATGTCAAATCCAGTCTTGCTTAACTGATATCCCTTGTTACTTAATTACCAAGGTCTGAAAGAAACAGAGGAAAAAACTATTTTCTAATCATATTTTGAAATTTTGATTAATCTTTAGCGATGTTCATACTGAAAATAACTTCTCTGATAATAACTGTGTTTTCTTTCCGTACAAACTTCTGGAGAGATTGAAAGGTTTAAACAAATATGAATATTCATGGCAATCCTATCTGATATAAATACTCAACGTCAAGGGCAAACTATATTCAAACATTGTGCACATATTTTAGCAGCAACATGCTGGATTTATTATGCACTCTCAAAATTATCCAGCTTTAAAACTTGTAAAGACAAATACTGCATTGGTTGCCAGTGTGCATTTTGTATTTACAGTTATAAATAAATAGGCATGCATATTTTATTTGTGTCCTTTGAGCATCATCAAGCACAGGAGGGATCGTCCAGTTGAGGGTAGGTCTTCAGGGTGGTAATCAATCCGTTACATGAACAAATCAGATATGGTTTGGAACTGTCTCAAGAGCTTCGCAGCTGGAACGGGTTCGATTCACATTCTGTGGTAAAAAAAATAATTAATATTAACAAATGGTGGAAGAAATTATATCTCTGTACTTGTGACACTTCGTAGCCCAATGCAAAACTTGCCTGGCAGCCCGAAGGTCTTGGGCTCAAACTTGCACAGAAACAGATGTGTTATAACCTACCTTGGCTCCCAGGCAAAGCAGAGTCTACAATGAGTGTGGGAAATGTCCTTGGAAATGAAGGTAGCCATCAAGAATTTGATAACTCCAGCATCATATGTCTCATGCACTACAGGCATAAATAGGATTCTTAATTATTTTTTTTCACTTCACATACTGAAGACATTTCCATATGTGCTTCATTCCTGTCAGCAGCTGTTTCCATTCTGAAGATGACAGGGCAGCATTTTAAAAAAAAATGTTCTCTTTGAACTAATTTCCATGCCCTTGTTTGAAAAAACTGTTATGAAACTCAAGTGGACACACTCCACTGTTTTGATATATTCTATACCTCATTTGAAGTGATAAAAGAGTAAAGAGCTATACAGTATAAAGCTTGATGTGCAGAAGTCAATCATGGATAATCAGAAGATTAGTGAAAAAATGTAAAAGTAATCTAGATGGTTTACAGAAGAATAGTAGGAACACCTTGGACAGAGAGGCATGAGAACGAATTCCAATATCAGAAGGCAATCTGAGTTAAAAACTGGTATCATGACTAGGAGCATTCTCATAAGTTCTCAGTCCATCTTCAGCTACCGGTGCAGAATTCCAATTCTTATGGTACAAGCAGCAGTTTCATTATGGCTGTCTGATAGTACAAGCAGCGGTTTCATTATGGCTGTCTGATAGTACAAGCAGCAGTTTCATTATGGCTGTCTGATGGTACAAGCAGAGGTTTCATTATGGCTGTCTGATGGTACAAGCAGCGGTTTCATTATGGCTGTCTGATGGTACAACCAGCAGTTTATTATGGCTGTCTGATGGTACAAGCTGCGGTTTCATTATGGCTGTCTGATAGTACAAGTAGCAGATTCATTATGGCTGTCTGATGGTACAAACAGCAGTTTCATTATGGCTGTCTGATGGTACAAACAGCAGTTTCATTATGGCTGTCTGATGGTACAAACAGCAGTTTCATTATGGCTGTCTGATAGTACAAGTAGCAGTTTCATTATGGCTGTCTGATAGTACAAGTAGCAGTTTCATTTTGGCTGTCTGATAGTACAAGCAGCAGTTTCATTATGGCTGTCTGATGGTGCAAACAGCAGTTTCATTATGGCTGTCTGATGGTACAAGCAGCAGTTTCATTTTGGCTGTCTGACAGTACAAGTAGCAGTTTTATTTTGGCTGTCTGATGGTACAAGTAGCAGTTTTATTATGGCTGTCTGATGGTACAAGCAGCAGGATGGTACAAGCAGCAGTTTCATTATGGCTGTCTGACAGTACAAGTAGCAGTTTCATTATGGCTGTCTGACAGTACAAGTAGCAGTTTCATTATGGCTGTCTGATGGTACAAGCAGCAGTTTCATTATGGCTGTCTGATGGTACAAACAGCAGTTTCATTATGGCTGTCTAATGGTACAAGCAGCAGTTTCATTATGGCTGTCTTGCCACCCTCGCTGTGTGTGATCAGCATTAGGCATCCCTTGCTGTGACATGCATGGGCAGTGATGATCAGGTGAGTTTCACCCAATTTTGCCATATGGAAAATGTGACAACTTGAAAGATCTATGATGAGACAGAGATGGAAGTTAAGATGATTCTTGACAGCCTTTTGTTATGTCATACCAAGGTAAAGATTCAACATCTCAGCATTCAGGACAAGCCCATATTAGCCCCATTTCCTTTTTCGACAGTCAGCGATGAGTCTCCGAACAGATGGTATTCTGGCACCCTTTATCTGGTTAAATACACATCTGCTCCCCCTGATCTCCAGTTGTGATGCACCCCCTCATCTCCAGTTGTGATGCACCCCCTCATCTCCAGTTGTGATGCACCCCCTCATCTCCAGTTGTGATGCACCCCCTCATTTCCAGTTGTGATGCACCCCCTCATCTTGAGTTGTGATGCACCCCCTCATCTCCAGTTGTGATGCACCCCCTCATCTTGAGTTGTGATGCTCACCCTCATCTCCAGTTGTGATGCACCCCCTCATCTCCAGTTGTGATGCTCCCCCTGATCTCCAGTTGTGATGCACCCCCTCATCTCCGGTTGTGATGCTCCCCCTGATCTCCAGTTGTGATGCACCCCCTCATCTCCAGTTGTGATGCTCCCCCTCATCTCCAGTTGTGATGCTCCCCCTCATCTTCAGTTGTGATGCACCCCCTCATCTTCAGTTGTGATGCTCCCCCTGATCTCGAGTGGTGCCCAGAGCCCACAGACACTCCTCACTGCATCATTCTGTCCAGGTGTGAGTTTTCAATATTTTCTTATTTACTTGTCACCTCGCCACACAGGCAAGAGGTCACCTTTGCCAATGTGCAGTTGCAGTACACCCCCCAAGTGGGGCCAGCCCAGCCAACCTATTTGCCTGCTCATTCCCAAACACACCTGCATAGTTTGGACAGAACAGCTATAGAAGATATAATACACGAAGAAGAGGCAGTGGTTAACATTCATGACGGTGGACACAGAATATCAAGGAGACACTCTTGGCTGAAAGTTACCAAAGCAGGAAAGCTGGCACGGACCCTGGGCTATCTAGTGTGCCAGGATGAGAGTGATTTTTCTATTAAGGACCTGCTACATGATGATGATGATAATGAGTTATTACATATAAAATAGAGAATCAAAGCAATGTTTCCCCATAGTAAATTTGAACAAAGAAGACAAGTAAATAAATGCAAAGAAAACAGGCAGTTCATTTAATTTTTGTTGAATTGGTACTTCAGCTACAAAGGATTCACTTATTTGCTTTATTTATGTAATTGTTACTGTAGTATGCACCTGACGAGATACAATGAAACTTTTTTAGACAATAAATTGTGCAATCTGTTGTTTGTGTCTTCTTTGTTCAAAAATAGGCAATTCAAGTGTGAAAATCAGAAATGAGGAAGAAAAAACAAGAAGTACTGACCACTGGCCTGTCTCTGTGTGTGTTGACAGCTGGGATGTCCAGAGCTACAAACTCCACTCTACAACCGTAGGCTACCGGTGTCAGCTTGATCACAGTGTGAAGTGGCACTTTCAAATATGGCAGGCTGTCTGCATCAGAAATCCACAAAAATCTATTAGCAAAAATCAGCATTAACATTTGCAAAAAAAAATGAGCTGTAGATGATGAAATCTATGGCACACCAAATTGCTTTCTATAAATAAACAGAGGGGGAACCTTTGGGGCCGTTAAATATTATGAAATAATTGAGTAACAGAAAGTGTATTGATTGGCACTCATAGAAAGAAGTAGAAAGATCTTTCTACTTCTTTCTATGAGTGCCGATCAATACACTTTCTGTTACTCGATTAATTCAAATTGCTTCCTGCATACTCGCAGGTCAAACAAAGAAACATATCAAGGTTTCTTTCATTAACTTTGATTATTAACAACAACTAGCAAATTGGTTCCATTATATATATATATATATATATATATATATATATATATATATATATATATATATATATATATATATATATATATATATATATATATATATATGACAAGAGGCTGCCTATTCAGTCAAAATGAAATGTATTTACATAAACACAAGTTCTGATGTCATGTATGTAATAATTATGCACTCCAACCAAGTTAAGTTATAGCTTACTCGACTTTAGTCAAGCCATGCCTGAAATGCTTTTGTTGTCTGTTAAGCATTGTGGACAAATATGTAACTGCAATAATTTCATTCATAGATAATACACACATATGGTACGCTAGGTTTACATAAAAAAAAAAAAAAAAAAAAAACAAGAAAGTTTTACAAATGCAAAGACTACTGAAAAAGATGAAACATTCTAGCAGCATTCTAATCCTAGCCAATAAGCAGAAACAAGGTTCTATGTGGCAATGACAGTGGTTGCTCCCGTCAGAGATGTCATGATACTGAACAATTTAACACAAACATTCAAGGGAAGAAGAGCGGGAGGTTGGAAGGATTAGCACTGCCCAACAAGTTGGTGAGAGTTGGCACCCTGATACAGACCTAATTAACAGGTGTGTTAACTTTTTCAATTATAACATTATCGAATATTTTAGAACAATTAAAAATGATCGCCAACATCAGAGCACTTTGGAACTTTAGCTCTCAACACAAACTAGTAACCGCAAACCCAATCCAAGTTTTATCAAGGTACAGTGAATACAAGGTTTTTATTTATTGATGTTTTTATTCCAGTTTGATCACCATGTGTTAGCTTATTTAACAAATGGCCTTGTATTTAGAACAATACATTTTAAAATGTGAGTCTGCTGGATCCTGGAACAAATTAATTTAGTTTCCATTATTTTCAATGGGAAAATGGCCTTGGAACTTGAACGATTTGCCCATGTGATTACTGTATCACAACAGAACATAGTTAATTTCCAAGCTACAATCGTATTATATTTTGGTCAATGATTAACACCATTTTAGCCATAAAAAAGAAAAAAAAGGACCAGCCATAAAATAGCTCTGACAAGTGAAGCTGCAGACTTGAGATTCTGTACACAACGTTTCAACTGAAGGCAGACAGCTATAACTGAAATCTTGATGGAAGCCAGTGCGTAATAAGAGTGATGCCCATATAAGTTGTTTTCAATCAACATGTGGACTACACAGCACACAACAGAAGGAAATAGGATACAAAAGAACAAGGCTCCCACCTGAGAAGTGGAATGAGTTCCTTCACACACCCACCACCCGAGAAGCGCAGCCGGACAACCGTGGCATTAGGGATATCCAGATGTGGGCTGTTCTCTATAAATAGTAACACAGTGTCAAGACTGGGAGATCTCGAACTGCAGATACTTAACTATGCCAGTCTACACTCTAGACATGCATTGGATATACCACAACTTGCATATTCTATGTTTCTGTTGCATGCAAATCTTCTTCTTTATTGTTTGCCCTTAAACAAGGGGGCTATCATGGTTATGTTGTAGTTTTCAACTAGACTGTGACATCTACACCTTGGTCAAGCACGGCCAATTTCAGTAAACCCGTAAAACACATTTCACAAAGTGCTTGTCGGGAGCAGTAGGTCTATTCGTTCTCTCCCCCCCCCCCCCCCCCCCCCAACAAAACAAAAAAACATGTGAGGCACTGGAAGTAATATAATCAGAAGAGGCTTACTTAAACAACAGAGTTTAGTGACAGTAAGTTAAAGACAGGACCCTTTCACAAATTTGGTATCAGATGCTTGCTCCATATTCTCAAAAATTAATCAGTACTTAAGCAAAAAAAAGACCATAACATACTTCCCAGAACTTCTGGTACCTACGTTTAGCCCTTGTCAATTTTAAAAAGTCACTTTAATGGTCCCTTCTTCTTCTTAGTATTCACCAGCTGTAAGCTCTCATTAAAAGTGAAGGTTGTTTGTCCACTTCTGGACTTTAGTTTTGCCCCAGAAAAAACATTTTACATTCACATCCCTTTTACAGATCTGGCTTATTTTTATGCAGACCGATACTTCCTGGCCCATTGCACCCTGACTTCAAAGAAAGTCATCTCTTATGACATGCTTGTTGGTGGTTAGCGGGTCAGTACTCCCCCCACCCCCCAAAAAGGGGCACCAGAACCTATAATGTGAAGCCCTGATGGTAATTCAGCCATGTGACCACAGGTAAAAAGCATGCCAGTCCCTGAATTCCAGAATGATCTGGGACAGAAACCTCTTTTTTTTCCCCAGATGAATAATCTAAATATAGAAACAAACTTCACTGTCTGCTGAAGTTGTGTTAGATCTATAAAATTTTAATGCACCAGAATAAAGAACTATAGTTTGGATCACACACACACAAAATATCAGTTTGAACTGAACAGAGGTTAGGACTTTGATGAGTCTAGGGATCTAAAACATTAATGAAGTTGTGTTTTCATTTAACTATATATCAATGTTATTCCTTTACAGTATTAAAAAAAAAAAGTCCCTTTTCCACGGCTTTAGGCGTATAAGGCTAGACCTATATTTTATAGATTAGTTGGCACAAGATGGGTGATGTGGTCATCACTCTATACCTTTACAGTAAGTAGTTCCCTTAAAAGCCATGTCACTTCTAGCAGCAAGGGCTGGGACAATGATCAACATAACACTGTTGGGATACAAGATTCCAATGGTAGATGTCACTATTAGATACCGCTTTCATCTAACACTGTTAGTTCCGAAAAAAATTCCCCTGGGAGATATTACTTTTGTGCAGGCCTTCTCATACACCTGTTCATGGTACTAAGAGGAATGCCCCACCAACTAAAACAAAGCAAAACCTGCTGCATCATCAAACTGAACATCATCATCACCAGTGTGCAGAATATCACTCTCATGGCATGCAAGAAAGCCACAAGATTTCCACCACGTGAACTTTCCCCTCAGTATCCATGGTATCCTGCATCCACTGATGTGATAGTTCAACCATGCTCCTTCAAGAAACTAGAGCTTCCATTACTGTTATTTCCAAAACTACTAGAATATTTAACCTGGCCAACATATTTCAGAACTTAACATTGGCAGAAAAAAAATAGTTCTCCATCTCACGTTCTAAAACAGTGGTATCTGAAACAGGCTCTCAATAAAAGCAACAAACTGTTGAATTCAGAATGTGAGCTAGACACAACAGACACCACAGCCATATGTACAAACTGTTAAATGTTAAATTAAGAATCAACATCACTGCACTTGAGGCACTCCCATGAGTGATCTGTCTTCATCTTCAGCAGCAAGCGAAGAGTTCTAATTCCGATGGCACCAGTAACTGTCTGATTGTATATCCATCTCATTTTTCCAGTGAGTGTGGAGCGTCGGCCAGATACCCTGCTGCAGACATACTCTATACATGTGCTGCACAAATGCTCTTTAAAAAAAAAATATTAGTTTCTTATTGGTGATTCCTTGAAATACTCAAGATAAACACGAACAGTTGAAATTTTTTAAATGTTAATGTTAAAATTAATCAGTTTAATAGAAATACCTGCAAGCTGAAGCAAAATGTACACAATTAAATTAATGCACAAAAGCAAAAAAGCTGGCCCAAACTGCCAAACTCTGATGTACATAAGCAAAATAATTTCGGCAAGCAAAGTGCTAAGTCTTACAAGTTTCATATTTATTAAAATAAAGTTATGAGTCTCACAAAATTAAAAAAGTTGTCTCATATTTATTGAAGTAAGACTTACAAGTTTCATATTTATTAAAATAAAGTTATGAGTCTCATAAAATTAAAAAAGTTGTCTCATATTTATTGAAGTAAGACTTACAAGTTTTATATTTATTAAAATAAAGTTATGACTCTCATAAAATTAAAAAAGTTGTCTCATATTTATTGAAGTAAGACTTACAAGTTTCATATTTATTGAAATAAAGTTATGAGTCTCATAAAATTAAAAAAGTTGTCTCATATTTATTGAAGTAAGACTTACAAGTTTTAAATTTATTAAAATAAAGTGAGTCTCATAAAATTAAAAAAAAGTTGTCTCATATTTATTAAAGTTGCATGTTTCATTCATTACAATTAGTGAAGTTTCATACTTATTAAGATTATAAGACATGTTCCATAGTTATTTTTTAAAACAAAATGATTAGGAATGTTAATGTCTGGACATTCCTAAAATAGTCTAACAACTGTTAATGTATAAATATTTGTCTATGTCAATGTACAAACATTCCTGAGGTGATAGTGTGTGTTAATGTACAAACATTCCTGAGGTGATAGTGTGTGTTAATGCACAAACATTCCTGAGGTGATAGTGTGTGTTAATGTAATGTACAAACATTCCTGATGTGGTAGTGTGTGTTAACGTACAAACATTCCTGAGGTGATAGTGTATGTTAATGTACAAACATTCCTGGGGTGGTAGTGTGTGTTAATGTACAAACATTCCTGAGGTGATAGTGTGTGTTAATGTACAAACATTCCTGAGGTGATAGTGTGTGTTAATGTACAAACATTCCTGAGGTGATAGTGTGTGTTAATGTACAAACATTCCTGAGGTGATAGTGTGTGTTAATGTACAAACATTCCTGAGGTGATAGTGTGTGTTAATGTACAAACATTCCTGAGGTGATAGTGTGTGTTAATGTACAAACATTCTTGAGGTGGTAGTGTGTGTTAATGTACAAACATTCCTGAGGTGATAGTGTGTGTTAATGTACAAACATTCCTGAGGTGGTAGTGTGTGTTAATGTACAAACATTCCTGATGTGGTAGTGTGCCTTAATGTACAAACATACCTGATGTGGTAGTGTGCCTTAATGTACAAACATACCTGATGTGGTAGTGTGTGTTAATGTACAAACATACCTGATGTGGTAGTGTGTGTTAATGTACAAAAATTCCTGAGGTGATAGTGTATGTTAATGTAGGAACATTCCTGAGGTAGTAGTGAAGATTCATACTCCACAATGCAAAATACTGATTAATAGCACACAAGAAAGCTGGAATACAAACCAAACCAGATAAATATAGGGTAAAAATGCAAAGACAATAAACACACAAGGAAAAATAAAAAAACTGCACAAAAACTAACCTGCACTCTTGTCTTGAAAATAGGCCAAGAGACATCTCAGGACAGCCTGGTGGCATACAACCATGACATTCTCTTGCCTTTCAAGCTCCTGTCAGAAAGAAACATTGAATGACTTTATAACTGACAACAATATTGTTCTAATCACTTTAGGTCATGACTGCAGGCCGTGGCCAGCTGGTGCTGCAGAACTGAAAGTTCAACAAATGAGTCATGACAATTCGCGCACGTGTGATGTGACTGTCTACATAGATGGCTCTGTATTTAGGGGCAGATGAAATGCAAGGAGGTTGGTAGCAAAAGCGAATGGACGTCGCTTAGTGCAACAAAGCCTTGCGTACGAAATCACAAATACCGAGTTTGAGAATGGAGGTGGAGGCAGTCAATGCAGCCTTCCCCTGTCTTGAGAATCAATTGTACGCACATGGCGTGATTGTAACTGTCTCATACAGAATTTTGAGAAAGGTGGAGACAGGCATGCTCTGTGCAGAGGGGCAAGCATCACTTCAGAGGTCTCGGGTAGTTAGCATCCTTTGAATATTTTCTCAAGGTCATAACGGTGTGTTAGGAAATGAGCAGGCAGATAGATTTGCCAGTTCCGCATCACTTAATGGTAAATTGATGTATGATAAGCTAGATATTGTGAGGCCCCTTTGGGGCTATTGAATAGTGCGGAAGTACAAGCAGATCATTATGGTCTGAAGTGATGTTTGCCACCTTGCACAAATATGTATATACAGGTGCAGATTTAAATGTCTGGAAATAACCACAATGAAACATGCTGAATACCTGAGTTATAAAGTACGTAAATACATAGCAGGGAATGCCAATTTCCTTCACTACACTCTTGCACATAGATAAAAGGCAAGAAAACAGATGGCAAGATGTTTGTGATGCCAGTCAAAGAACCTGTCAAACATCAGGTGCTAAGGACTGGCAGAGTAAGAGATGAGGGGACTGACTCCACTGTACATCCCATGGTGTGAGGGACTCAGTAGCTGAGGGGACTGACTCCACTGTACATCCCATGGTGTGAGGAACTCAGTAGCTGAGGGGACTGACTCCACTGTACATCCCATGGTGTGAGGGACTCAGTAGCTGAGGGGACTGACTCCACTGCACATCCCATGGTGTGAGGGACTCAGTAGCTGAGGGGACTGACTCCACTGCACATCCCATGGTGTGAGGGACTCAGTAGCTGAGGGGACTGACTCCACTGTACATCCCATCGTGTGAGGGACTCAGTAGCTAAGTGGTTAAGCCATTTGCCCCACACTCTGAACATCATGAGTTTGTTTAATGGACTGCACTGTTCACAAAAATGCAGTTTTTATAAAGACTCCCATGGGTCATTGCTGCAGCTACAGAGTTTGTTCTTTGTGTAATGCTCACAGCAGTTGGCTAACCATTCTGTGATAAGACCGAGCAGAATAGAGTTAAACCTCAGTACAATGCAGTTGATCCTCTTGACTTTAAATTTTTCTTGACACCATCTGGTTAGATCTCTGAATGTCTCATAAAGCCTGGAATTCACAGTGGAAATACTTAGGAGCTCCCCAAAATTGTACTCAAACCCATTGATGTAAACCACACACGTGACTGTGCTCACCCACACACACATGAATCAACTCTGCCTTCAGAGTGCCAAGACAAAGAGCTTAACCAATCTGTCTCAGAGACAACCAGTGGAGTTGTGTAAAGAACCAAAATCACAACACTCGGGACATTCCCACAAGTGCCCCTTCATCTTCAGCAGCCAGCACAGAGCTGGTACCAGTAACAGCCTGATTATATCACCATTCTACTTTCCTCAGTGTTGTGTGTCCCCTGGTCACGTGTTGTGTGTCCCCTGGTCACGTGTTGTGTGTCCCCTGGTCACGTGTTGTGTGTCCCCTGGTCACGTGTTGTGTGTCCCCTGGTCATGTGTTGTGTGTCCCCTGGTCACTACCTGCACCACCAAATGTAAGAAAAGGCTGAATGTAAGACAGGCCTGCATGCCCAATTTGCGATCCTTAGGAAATAGACTGTGTTCATTCATGCGTTTGTTCTCTGGGGACTATGATGATTTATTTATGCTTCTGCATGGTTCACTTGCTTCCAAAGGGCCTTCCTTATCTGTCAAGTGTTGAACAGGTCAGTGATGTGTCATTGTCAGGGTCCTTTGTGCACCCCCTTCCCACCCCCCAACTCTGAAAACATGTGCATTGGTTAGTGTAATAACAGTTTGACAATGAAAACATGACTTCACAGTGTAAGGCAATTTTGTATGGTGACCTCATATACCGGAAAAAAAGGGTGGGGGGGGGGGGGGGGGGGGGGGGGGGGGGGGGGGGGGGGGGGGGGGGTATTTGTTGTAATTTATTTGAGACCACTACCAGACTATATTAGCAGAAAAAAAAGAAAAAAACAGGAAAAAAGTGGCAGAAGAAAACAAAACTAATAGGAAGAACTAGAAGTGAAGAACTAGAAGACCGACAAAAACAGGCAGAGAAGCAAATGATGTTAAATAAGTCATGGTTAAACTTACCAGAATGACTGGTTCCAGTCTGGCCACCAGATCTTGATAAGACTGAAGAGAGACCAAAACAGTTAAAGATCTCTAGAAACATCTGACATGAAAAAATGCATGTGCACTTTCGTTACAATGTGGTAATTAGCATCCTTAAAACAAAGAATATACAAATCTGTATCTGTTATAAGCTACGTTTTGTACAGACTTTGCTTTCAATTTTTAGACTAATTTCTTAAAAGCTTCTGAACTCAAATTTTTGACATATATGCTTTATAGATAACTATGCAAGTAGGTACAAGAAAATCCCTCCTATTTCAAATCCCAATCTTTTAAAGGTCATTTTGGATGTGAAACAACTTACATAGTCATCATATAAAATATACCATCAAAACTTTGCCTTTAACATCTATACCATTTTCCTATTAGCTTTGAAACTTATGTTTTGCACAAATGCACTCAGTGGATGACAATGTAATCAGCTGCAAAACCATTCATATTTTAAAAAAAAAATTGCTTTCTGACTTCAAAGAATTGTCTGTTTATGATGTACATTATACATCCAAGAGATAGCCTCTGGATGACTTTCAGTTCTGAATTCCCAAAGACAATGGCCTCCTTATCTACATAGGATTGTAGGTCTAACCTGCCTGGGTTCACCATTACAGGTGCCCAAATTATAACTTCTTTAAAGGTTGAACAGGGTATCCAAAATCTGCCTTGCTGGTCTTCTGTACGGATGGAGATTTCTTAACCAAAGCATGGAATGGTAAAAATGTAGGTAGCAGCACAGAGGGGACAAACCAATGAATCTCAGAGATGATGCAATAACCAACACTGGGAGTTACCATATGATTCAATGAGCTGTTTACATGGTCACATCAAATAAAACAACAACAATCATTTGAAAGCTGAGTAAAATGATTTATAACCAATTCTAAATTACATACAAAGACAGCAAGTGAAATGGTTTGCCCACTAAGAGAGAATGCCTTGTGACACCATACCATACAAAGCATACATGGGAAGAGAAGAAGGACGTAGAGCACGAGGTAGACCAAGAACAAGATGGAAGGATAACATCAGAGAAACTACAACAGCACGATGTGCCTATGGTTGAGGCGGCCAGAAGAGCTAGAAACAGAACCTTATATCTCCCTCGACACCCACAGCGGTAAAAGAGGAAGTGAAGAAGAAGAAGAAGAAGAAGAATTACAACTATAACAAGAACAGTTGCAACAACACTCCTCATCAAATTTATTGAGAAACAAAGAATGAAATGGTTTGGCCATCTAATGAGAATAAAGCCAACGATACCAGCTGCAAGAGCATACAACCTGAAAATTGAAACATCAAGAGACAGGGGAAGACTGAGAAGAAGATGGATTAAAGGAGTCACTGAAACCTTGAGACTGCATAGCATCACGGCATATCAAGGGACTGAGCACGCCCTAACTCGGCTGCCGATCGTATGATGAACAATGACGCCTAGCGGCATAAGCAGATATGGACAAAAGAAGAATTAATAACTATAAAATATACTTTAAAAATGTAAACAAAATAAGCTTTCATTTAAAACAACATAATTATATAAAATATATTTGAAAAAATACATAATAAGCTTTTATTTAAAAAAAAAAAAACACCATTATATACTAAAAAGAAAGAATTAATTTACCATATACGCTAATTAACACATGCGATTATATAATTCTCTTTACAAAATGTATCTATGTCATTTTGTGTGTCAATTAATGTATTTGAAAAACTGCTTTTGTCTTTTTAGTGCATTAATTAATTACTTGATGCATTTCAAATAAAAAAAGCTTGTCTTACAATTAAGTTTTTCAAATTTGTTTTTATTTTGGATAAGAGTGGTTGTTTTTACTGCAGATTTTACTATTAGAGCAGATAGCGCACATATACAAGTTTATTATATGACAGAAACAATAGATCAGAAGATGATACACAGAAACAGATAGGAGAGCTGAAAGAAACAAGAGAAGAAGAAATAAGAGAAGAAAAAAGAGAAAGAGGAGAGAAGGTTACAGAGAAACAAAGGATAAAGAATAGAATGAGAGAACATAAAAACAGAAAACTGAGCATTGAAAGAAAAGAAATAAGAAGAGAGATAAGAAAGTAAAACAAAAACAGACAAGAGAGAAGACAGTATTTTAGAATGAACATAAAATGCAGATGTGCTCCTACCTCCCCACTTGGGTACCTGTAGTGGTACTTGTCCTGGTCTCGTAGAGCAAAGTCCTGCGGGTACTGATCCTGTATCTCCTCATAAGTCATTCCCTCACAGATTCCCTGAAATCAGAGGCATCATCATTTTAGAAGAAAAAAAACTGGTTACTAGCCTTTTCTAGGTTGAGGAAATGCAATCTGAAAACTCAATATTATGGCAGGCTTTATTTTTTTTTTTTAGAGTAACCGTTTTCAAAATTGTGTTTACATAAAGAAAAAAAAAAAAAAAACAGATGAAAAGAAGAAAAAGCAGAAAAGAATTGTTGAGTCTTGCAAAAACATCCAGATAGTGAAGCCCCCTAGACCAGCAACCAAGCAGGCAAAGTGAAGCCCTAAGCTATACTGCCGCTGTCAATTGAAAAAATAATTCATATTAATTTTTATTATTCATCTGTTAATGCAAAACAACATTTTAAGCAATCACTAAATACAAAAAGAGCAGAGAATTACCTGCCTTCCTTCCCTCTGACCACGATAAATGTGGTTGTGTCGACTGAGACATGTAGAGCAAAGTGACCTAATACCGCTGATAATACCTAACATTTGTGTGTTTTGGTACTGTTATACTCAGAATATCTACACACTGCAAATGCTGCCAGTAGCAAGGTTGTTATACAGGTGTGATGGCCACTGACCAAAGACTTCATGTCATCAAAAGCCCACGAAGGTATGGGGAAAATAGGTTTCTCGAGGTAGCAAATAGAAAAACAGGCCTAAAGAGGGATCACGCTGAATGGACAATACATGATTTCTACAATACTCCACAGGCTTGGTGCTAGTAAGAGGAGAAACTTCATCCGTGGCCTTAACTGGTACTGCCATGGGCTGTGATTCCTATGGACTCCCTATAGCAAAAATAGAACACTCTACTCTGGAAAGATGAAACGGTGAGAAAATATTAGAGAAAAATTAGGAGTTATTTATCATTTGGTGAGGCATGCTGGGTACTTTATGATATCCCCATATTTTTCTACCCCAACTTCTGGTTGATTCTAATAGACAAAGAAATGGCTTGGGCATATTGAGAGAACGTCAAATGACACGAGAGGTAAAAACTACACTCAAGGGTGCTGAATATTTATAGACTACGAGGCAAACCAAGAAGATGATGGAGAGATAATGTCAAGACAGACCTGCAAGCACTTGGTGTCACCAAATGGAAAGAGAAGGAAAACCAGAGAGATAAATGGAGGCAGGTGATATCTGCAGCAATGAACCTCAAGGGCTCGGAATGCTGAAGAGGAAGAAATACTGCTGGTTGATGTAAATATTACATTGGCCAAATTTACTTCCATGAACACCTGATGTCCTTTTTAGGCTGGATCAAGCTGGCAGACCATGTCATTTGGAGAAAAAAAAATCTCTGCCTTGAGGGGTTTAAACACAATGCTGGCGAATGTGCCAGTGCAGCTCCTAAATAATATTTTTAAAAAATCCTTTTTCACGAGAGAAGCTGTGAATTTGGTGCATCAGGAAGATAGTCGCACTTTTGCCTTGACTTAGAAGCAGTCTTGACTATGGAGGTGATGGCGGAACAAAAGCTAGAGACAGTTTTTTTTTCCATGCATGTTTTCTAACTGGTTCCATGAATGTGCTTAAAAAGATCAAGACAGGATAGGTTCAAAGACAATGGTTGCAGTCTCTAAGAAAATCTTGTCTTACAGAAATTAGCTTAATGTTTGTGGTAGCACATAGGTAAGAGTTAATGAATGAGCATACTGGCTTATTGCCAAAGCAATGGTAGGCTCAGGGAAATCCATGGACCTAACTGATGTAATTAATGCTTGCAAGAAGATGGGATGAATGGATTATTCGGGAGTACGTGGTGATCAGCAACCTTGACAAGACTGAGAACATGTCAGCAACAAAAATGGTGCTACCGGATACAAACAATACAGAGGTAGCCAAAGAAGAATAGTAAACTAATACAGAACTGGTGTTATCAGTCACAACACGCTGGAGATATTAAAGATGTGATCTGAGAGTGCTTATGGACTTGTCCAAGATGTGATGAGGATGACGGGTTGATTAACTAACAAACATCCCCACTTATTTAGGCATACGGATACTAGGCATGCAGGAAAAGAAATATTCAACATACTGCATCAATTTCATTGAGTGCCTTCCAGTGCTCCTTGGGTGCATCAATGTATCTGGCACTTTGAATTGTCCTCTTCAGCTCACTGGTCCACACTTTCAGATTGGGGATGTTCTCACTTTTCACAAACTTGGCAAGTTCAATGGCATACTGAAAAATACAATGTTAAACTCACACTTGTTCTAAGTTTTAAAACCACAACAATGTAAGAGAGCAAACACACTTAATTCATTTCATAAGTAATAACCAAATCAGTATTCCAAATCATTTACAATGGATCCCTGTCCAATGTGGCAAAGCAGGAAGAGAGTTGGTGAATAGACTTGAAAAAAAAATGGAACAAAAGAGAAACAATACACCCTTTCATTACCAGATCAAGTCCTTAAGAAATAATACAAGAAACTGTGCAGAGAATTAACCAACAGAAAACAATGTTCTGTCTAAGAACAGGAGACTGCAGGCTCAACTATCACACACAATAAAGTAAACAGTGTAGTCCCGACAGTGTGAACGTCAAATGGGACCATAAACACCTGAGCCCACACTGCAGACCTGCCCACTCTACTTACAGCTATGAGGAGAAACCTGGCCTCAAGAGCGAAGTGTGCAGAGCCAGCTATGGGGAACCATTAAGGACCTGCAACTGACGTGAATTCATAGGGGCAGTATATGTGGCAATTCGACCTCAGCATACAAAAGTGAACACAAAGATAAAGAAATCAGTATTTACTACATAGCATGACCATATTTACTCAATCAGTTCTTACTGATCTCTCCCCTGTGTGGGTTCCAGATCCCACTTTGGATGGGGGTGGGGGTATAGAGCCACTGTTCTTAAGCATTTTATAAAACATGACTAACTGAGGTTTGCTGTCAGTGGATGCATTGGGATTACAGGTGCTGATATTGTAGCCTAGCTGTAAACCACAACATAATGTGCTAACTGCCCTTTTGAAGGAAATGCAGAAGAAAACAGTATTGATGACTTTTCATGTGCTGGTCTTTGGTTCATTTGTGTTATTGACTCTCATCTCACTTACCGATTCTCCCTGTTCACTGAGATCGCTGTCGCCTCCAATACGTCCCTGTAGGTTCATCAAGCTTTCTCCATGCTGGAAAATAATGGGTTCATATTCAACAACTGATATCTAATATTAAGCTAGCTTATTTGTTACTAAAAGGTTGGTAGGTCAAACCCTAACTGACTAATAAACCATTTCCTTAACTATTAAAACATGGGTGGCTTGCTCTCTAGTTTTACAAAATCATGCTTAGTTCCGCTAAAGTGGTTCTCAAACATGGTACCCAACTCCCATTCGTGACTAAATGAATGTTGACAGTAAATTTTTTTTGAATAGGTTTTCTTAATTCTTATTTAGCAATTTCTCTATAGCCTCACCACCCATACAGCAACATCTGAACTCAGGAGGAGAGAGCAACACCCTCGAATCTGTTTGGAGTGCTGTGATGACAATACTAATCACATTAAAGTAATTTTACAAAATAAGGTTTGATCTTTAAAGTACAAATTTAGGCAAACTTACTCGTGTCAGGTATATGGTCCTGGGTAAAACATGTATATTCATTAGGTAGTAGACCACCCGACTCTGTAGGTGTCCTGGAAATTCATTTTAATACAAAAAGATAAATATGGCAGATACTGGCATAGGTGCAGTAGGTATGAGTTCCTCACACATCAGTTAGCACATCACATATAAGTTGCTCACACAGCACATCACATTTAAGTATGGGTTCCTCACACATCAGTTCCTCACACGTCAGTTAGCACATATAAGTTCCTCATGCATCAGTTAGGAAGTCACATATAAGTATGAGTTTCTCAAACCATCCATTGCACAGTGAGATTTGCAGGAAGAAGGGTAGCAGGTTAATAAAAGGGAAAATCCTGGTGGGTCATGCCGAGGACGTTATTCAATAAGTTTGTTCAAATGAGGACATAGAACCTGGTGAGGAATGGGTACAAGTGCCAGCAGAGTGGTGTACATCCTTTTCAGTCTGAATAAAACTGGGTAGAGATTGCAAACAACAAGGCCCGTTGGTGGTTGAGGCAGAGGTTCAAGCCTTAATTTTTGAAAATTGTGCACCACGGAGGTGCAGTTATCTACACTGACGGATCCGTCATTTAACACACACAAAGTTCATGGGCTTTCACGCTTCTGGTTCAAAGGAAAATTGTAAAAGACGATAGTGATGCTTTTGCCTCAACGACAAGTAGTCTGACTATGGAGGTGATGGCGGTAACAAAAGCAATGATGTGGTTAGAGACAGTGCATGTATCTCATGCATGCTTTCTAAGTCATTTTATGAGCATGGTTAAGAAGATAGAGACAGGATGTATTAAACAAAAAATGGTTGGTGTCACTGAGGAAATGTCACATGAAAGAAAACAGTTTCATTTTTATGCCAGGACACTCTGGGGTAAGAGGGAATGAAGGAGCAAATTGGCTTACTGCCAGGGCCACGCTAGGTACAGGAAAAGCTATGGACCAGGCTATTCGCAATGCTCGCAAGGAGGCAGGAGGAGAAGATGATTCAGCAATACTCAAAAGTCTACAAGAACTTCTGGTCAAAAGAGATGTTGCCTAACATGAACACTATACAGGTAGCCAAAGAAGAATAGTAAACTAACACAGAATTGGTGTTATCAGTTGCTACATGCTGAGGGACATACACTGAAGATGGGATCCGAGCACTTATGGACTTGCCCAATGTGCAATAAGGATAATCTTTTGATTAACTAAGATTGGTTCTTCACTACCTCCTAGGACACATGTCCTGCCTTTAGGTCTTTGGACATATAGTGCCAGACTTTTGTAATAGCCCAACTGGCACTTCGTGGGTGATGTGGTCAACATCATGCTGTCCGTATTTACTTCCCTCGACCTACATGAAGTCAAGGTCAATTCAATCTGCCTAAATGAAGATTTATTTTTTATCTTCTTCATCCGAAGACACTAATGTGTTGTGCCCATTTACAACATGGCTGTGATATTTGATCCTTTTGGCCTTCCCAGTGGATTTGGATTTGAACCTTAGACTTTCAAGCAGACTATGTCAAGTGTCTTCATTTCATTGTTATCCAGCAAACAGACCTTGTGGAAAACAGCATCAAAATACAAAGTTTACCCAATAAGCTTCTACTCGCCTGAGCATCACTAAGTAAAGAGGGACATAGTGTCAGCACTCAATATGTGTTTCTTGGTTTCTACTGATAAGATTGACTTTTCTTTAACGTTATTCAACAGACACCATCCAGTTGTTTGTTTGTTTGTTTGTTTTAGTATCCAGAAGCCATGAGTTGTTAACCCTTAGGCTCCGTATTATGGATATCGCAACCTTTCGGCCTTGATTTCATTGTAAATACCTTAAATCTGGGAGAAATGTGGCTTTTCTGCTTACCCCCGGGAGTGAACCTGGACCACAAGGAGTTCATCACCCGATCTCCGCGCAATCCGGTTTAGCCAACTACGCTAGAGAGCCGGGCAACCATCCAGTTGTAAAACAACACAACTCTTGCCCTCTGTTACTTTAACCCTTTCAGTCTCATAAAATATTTTTTAAATTTCTTCAGCTAGAAGTGTGTGGCACTTCAGTTTAGATGTTAGGGAATTTGTTCAGCAATCTCACGATCCTTGAGTACTAGGGCTTGATCTCTGTGATGTGCGGCCACAAAACCCATAGTTGGTTTTAGACATTAATAGGAGATTCAAACCAGAGAAGAGACTGGGTAATCATCAGGTAATATTCTCACAGAGAGCAGGTACACTGCAGCCAACTTTTCTGTGGAGATGGCAAAGAATGGCCAACATTCAGACAAACAATCTCCCTGTGTGGGTTCAGGGCCCCATTTTAGGAGAAAAATAATAGATCCACTGTCCAGTAAAAAAAAAAAAAAAAATCATTGTAGCAAATTACAGGTATTTCCTTCAAAGTCAAAGTACATGTTTATGTTTATTTGAAGGATCAACATCATAGTTTCACAGGTGTAACCCATAAGTACTCCATTCTACTCTAACTCAAACCTGAGTCTGAAGAATCTCAGCGCAGTGCATGAACTCTGTTGCAACAGCGAGGATCCTGAAATACTTCGGATAGACTTTTAACTCAAAATTTTGCCCGGGCAGCACTGTTAGGCTACTTTTTTCAATTTCCAACTGCTAAGGGATTTTTTTGTGTGAGCAACAATATACATGGGCATCACATCTTACTACCCAGAGACCAGGGGACATTACTAGAAGTAATTACAAAAGCCTGGAAACTGATGAAGAACCAGAATGTTCTGCCAGAGTTTACAGCCAGTGAATGCGAAAAAGAAAAAAAGAAGATACAAATTATTCAGTAGTTAAAGAAACAACCGCTCAGGACACTGTTACAGTAACATGTGCTTCAGACTCAAACCGATAAAGGATAGGAACAATTACAGTAACATGTGCTTCAGTCTCAAACCGATAACAGGATAGGAACAGTTGCAGTAACAGGTGCCTCAGACTCAAACCGATAGCAGGACAGGAACAGTTACAGTAACATGTGCTTTAGACTCAAACTGATAACAGGATAGGAACAGTTACAGTAACATGTGCTTCAGACTCAAACTGATAACAGGATAGGAACAGTTACAGTAACATGTGCTTCAGACTCAAACCAATAACAGGATAGGAACAGTTACAGTAACATGTGCTTCAGACTCAAACCAATAACAGGATAGGAACAGTTACAGTAACATGTGCTTCAGACTCAAACCAATAACAGGATAGGAACAGTTACAGTAACATGTGCTTCAGACTCAAACCAATAACAGGATAGGAACAGTTACAGTAACATGTGCTTCAGACTCAAACCGATAACAGGACAGGAACAGTTACAGTAACATGTGCTTCAGACTCAAACCGATAACAGGACAGGAACAGTTACAGTAACATGTGCCTCAGACTCAAACGGATAACAGGATAGGAACAGTTACAGTAACATGTGCTTCAGACTCAAACCGATAACAGGATAGGAACAGTTACAGTAACATGTGCTTTAGACTCAAACCGATAACAGGATAGGAACAGTTACAGTAACATGTGCTTCAGACTCAAACCGATAACAGGACAGGAACAGTTACAGTAACATGTGCCTCAGACTCAAACGGATAACAGGATAGGAACTGTTACAGTAACATGTGCTTCAGACTCAAACCGATAACAGGATAGGAACAGTTACAATAACATGTGCCGTAGACTCAAACCGATAACAGGATAGGAACAGTTACAGTAACATGTGTCCCAGCCACAAAAAGAAGTCTATACCTAATACAGGCATGTCTTCAACAAATTTTCAGTAAAAATAAAGTTTGCTTTCCTTATGCATTCCGGCGTCAGGTTTGGGAGTTCTGAACAAGTTGTGTATCCTGGATTAGATTGTTGTTACCTGCTAACAGATAAGCTCATCAAATATCTAGGAATCACTCATGAACACATACTATGGCTAGAAAGCTCAACAGACATAAAGAGAAGAAGCCCACACAAACAAAATAAAACTTTCAGCCAGAATCTTTAAACAGGGATCTTTAAACAGACAAAATAATCTACTCAAGCAACAGACAACTTCAACATGGAAGTGGAAAAATGAAACTGGAGAAAAAAGTGTCATAATTACTGAATGATTAAAAGGAACCAAACTGTTCATGACATTTCCATGGACATGGTTGCAGAATGACTCATGACACTTTAGCAATGACAGCTCTATGGTGGACAGCAGATGGGGAGAGGGGAGGGGGGGGGAGATGGGAATGGCCTAAGGAAAATTGGAGAAAGACAGCAGAAAGGGAAATAAAGGAATGTAAACAGACGTAAGATACCATGGGCAGAAAAGCAGCAGACTAGCAGTAGTGGAGATCATGTGTGAATGCCTTATGTGTCAGCAGTAAGATGACAGGGATATAGACAGACAAACCAAATTAACACCAAACTGAGGATTTGCCAAAAAAATATTTGTAATTACAATATTTATACATTGAATTACCTGCCAGTTTATTGACAATGAACCTCTCCCCCTGGTTAAAGATCTGAATAAATGAGATGTCCTTGTCATAATTGTAGTCCAGTGCCTCATACTCCTGCTTATAATGTTCAATCCTTTTCAGAAAGTCCTCTAATGCTGTATTTTTGTCCATTCCTTCATAGTCAGGGCTGCAGACTTTGACTTCCTTATACACAATGTACAAACAGACAACAGTATATAGCTGTAAACAATATAAAACTCTGGTTAAGCAACAATCAGTCATCTCTCTCAGGTCTACATTGCTCAGTGCCTTCGCATGGCCACACCACACCTAACCCAAATAGGCCCTGGTACAGTGTCTTTTGCCTTTTTCAAAATATTTTTTTTATATCTTCAACTTGTATGATGTCTTCATAATGAATATTCCTTATGATGCCAAAAAAATCCTATGTTTTGTTTTGGAGGTCACAGCTTCTTTTCTCTGGGGCATGTCTGTATGCTAGGAAATGAACAGGCAGACAGACTAGCTGGCTCTGCACAACTTGGTGAAATGTGGATGCATGATATGGCAGACACGGTCAAGGCCTTATGGGAAGCAAATGTGTAATCAGTCTGGTGTGAGTGATACAGCGAGGAGTGACAAAGGGATCTCTCCGATACTCGATGCTCAGAGGAAAGGTAAGACAGACATATAATAAAACCGTTACTGGTTCCACTGGTATTGGAGTTGGTCGCTGAAGACGGGGATGGAGCACTTTTGGGAATACCCTGAATGCTGTGATGTCAGTTTTTGAACAAACTCAACTCTGTATTATATTCTGCATTATCAGATATCTTTTCTTTAAAATATCAAGCATGTTGATTTATAAGACAAAGTGAGACATGTGGGGAAACAAATTATAAGCCTTATGTTAATGCCAGTGCCACTTTTAGAAACACTATGCAGCAAAACCTCAAAAACAACAACTCGAAAGGATTGGAAATTAAGTTTGTGTTAAAAAACATTCATGTTGGGGACTAACTATAATACATTCGTGCTGGGAAAAAAATATTTTCCATGTTAACCAAATATTCTAAAGCCAGTTTTTGTGATGAGGTTTTACTTTATTAATTACAAATGGTTTTACACAGATGCTGTGCTACATCTGAGCAATTACCATAAATTCTCTGGATCTGGATCAGCCAATTCTTATTTTAAACAAATGACTACACTTTATAAATTGTCTTCTGGTCTGTGTATGTGAATTTCAGCCTGTCTGCATCGATTATGTACAAGAGCATGCAAATATATCTGCTGCTTTCAAAAACAAATAAATATATGCTCTGACTTACCAGTATGTTAGCTTCGATGATCCGAGGTTCGTCACAGACAGACTCCACAAAAAAGAGCTTGAAGTTCCTTTTCACGGTGAACATATCCACTAAAATCTCTCGTCGTCGTCTGGTTGTATTAGTAGCATCAACCACCTGTACAAAAAATGGCAGACTGTACATTCAAACACATTCAAGACATCTCTGAGTTGGCGGTAATCTACACACAGACGGTCGGTCCAGTAAAGAATCATTGGAAGACGAATCACAGACACATTTTGCCATATTGGTCAAAGACAATAAGGAGCTACGATGTTGATGGTGTAGTGGCTAGACACCCGCCTGCAGAACCAAAGATCATGGGTTCAAATCTGAACGTTGCTGGACTAAAAAAAAAAAAAAGCGATCTGGGCTTTAAAGCTGACCCAGCCTTGAGTGGGTACCAGGTAAAGTCCTGGGAAGTAAAGGCAGCTGCCCACTGAGTACCGATTGGTCTATAAAATATAGGTCTAGCACTATAGGCCCAACATGGCTAAACGCACCACGGAAAAGGGTACTTTACTTTTACCAAAACAATACACTGCACAATTTATTGCCTTGCTGTATCTGATCAGGGGCATTGCTACTGAGTGCACCACCACACTATGAAGCCCAAACATTAAGTCTATTTTCAACAAAATACACAAATCATGTCCTCTCTAGATAAATTGCTCATCTCATTGCAGACAAGATAGTCACATGACAAAATATGAATGAAAGAATAAACAAACTATTTTCAAAGGATTACAAATTGGACACGCAGGCCCATCTGACATTCGTCCCTTCCAAGCACCCATTTTTAGACCACAATTGTATTTTACCAATAATGTATGTTATGTTAATATAAAAAATATACATAATGAAACAATGCATAAACACATCATATATACACAATCATAAAAAAGTAAATGACCTTTTTCTTCACCTTCAGGTGCAGTCAGTATATAGAGCTAGACTTGTATTTTATAGACCACACGGCAATGGTGTATGATGTGGACAGCATTACCCCGTCCATCTTTACTTCCCAGGACTGCACCTGGTACCCAGAGAGGCTAGGCTGACCTGAGGCCCAGAGTCATTTTTGAAAAAAGTCAGGCCCCCGCCAGGTCCCAGACCTATGACCTTCCAATCTGAAGGCAAGCATCTAGCCGTTTAACCATGGCGGCTCCCATACACAATCATATCATAAACAGTCAAAATATACCCGTACTATACAGGACCATGTCAGCTCTGTGGCTAAGTCGATGCGAATGCTTCCTAATGCCGGGTTCGATCCCAGCTGCGGGCCATGCGCTGGTTTCGACAGTGGTTTCAGGGAGCCGACCGTCCAGAAAGCAATGGCAAACTACTGCACATAAATTTGCCTAGAGAAACCACACAACAGCCAGGGGCTGCTGGGGTTGGTTCTGCAACGTCCTATAAAGGATACGCAACTAACCTTTATACAGGCCCATACATACAGACATGTACACTCATACGTATACATACATTCATAGATACACACACTCATACATACCCCTTTATACAAATATATACATACATTTACATGCACCCAAATTCATACACAGACTCAGTCATACACACACACATTCACCTTTTTACATACATGCACTTGCACCTGAATATATACATACATACAAACACTCACATTCATACAGATACAAACACTCACATTCATACAGATACAAACACTCACATTCATACAGATACAAACACTCACATTCATACAGATACAAACACTCACATTCATACAGATACAAACACTCACATTCATACAGATACAAACACTCACATTCATACAGATACAAACACTCACATTCATACAGATACAAACACTCACATTCATACAGATACAAACACTCACATTCATACAGATACAAACACTCACATTCATACAGATACAGTGAAATAAGTCAAGCAACAAACTGTGTAATGTCCTGTTTGTGTCTGCAGTAATTTAATTTAACTAAGGGAAAATAATTGAATTTCTGTATATTTTACATCATAAAGATCTGAGAAGTCCTTGAAATCTACACTTTAGAGGTCAGCAAAATAGCTTCAAGGATGGTGGTAGACAAACTGGGCATTATCTGAGGAAGGGTAACAAGTTAACTGAAATTACACGCAAATTACACGCACAGCTGCTAGTACAGATGGAAGCAAACAGAATGACTAGACAAGCACTATCAATGAGATATAGGGAAGTTAGCAGGTATTCTAAGGGTTAGTACCGAGAACACAATCTAAATTTGCAGCTAAGCTGCTCTTTCAAAGGAATCAAAACTACAAATTTGTGCTGTATATGGAAAGCCACACTCAACGTCGCCTTATAGAGATAGAGGTGTAAAGAATGAACCAACATTTACAGCTAGCACTGTATAGTAGAAATTAGGAAAACATAAGTGAGGTCCTCCCTCACCCCATTAGCCTCTAGATTTGGAGGGTGTGGGTTCATTTCATGGACTCCACACATGGGTTCTGTGCCCAATTATCGGGGAGGGGGGGGGGGGGGTTAGATACAAGTCTCTTGTAGCTATGCAGTTGCGTGCGGACGGCGACACAGGCAGACAGTTTTTTATCAGCTGTCCGTACTGGTAGCAGAGCACCTATGGTTTATAACCATGTGCAGTGACGCTGGTTCACATCTTCCGACTTTTTTTTAACACAAATCTCAATAGGGGTGTCTATATTGAGTGCATCTGCCTGAGAAGCAATGAAACAACAATCTGCATACAAATAAGCCGGATCTATAAAACAGATGAACACTCAAAACTCAAGATCTGAAACGAGACTCAAGTCCAGAAGTGAATGAGCAACCAGAACTTTCCATCAAGTTTACAGCCAGTGAACGCAAAGAAGAGTAAGAATGTCACGGACTGCGCTGTTTGGTTTAGGAGTGCAGTATGTAGATTCCTAGATTATTGCTGCAGCTACAAAAGTTTATATTGTTCAATGCTTTATTTCAGCACACCAATTCAAGTATAGCAGATTCTATAGCAACTTACAGCAACTTCTCCTCCTCCATCTTCTAGGTATCTTGCAGCATCCTCCATTGCCAGCAAAGCCACACTACTGAAAATAGAAGCCATACCAAATTTGTAACAACAATCCTAACAAAATTGCTGCTAGAAAAACACACATTCAGCACATGTGATCTTCCATTTTGTCTTACTTATTTTCATTCCTTCTTTAATCTCTTCATTAACTTCTTCCTAGTTTATTCTCCCCCCCCCCCCTTTCCCACAAACTTTCCACCCCAACTCCTGTCCTTATTTCTTATTATTTGCTTACTTCTTTTCTCATTTACCCTCCAATTTATGTCCTTTGCTTTCACTGACGGGCTTTCTGCAGCTGAAGGAAACCGTGGTATACTTTTCTTCTGTGTTTACTAGGAAATGTCTGCCATCACTACAATGGAGGAGGGTCTACATTGGAGGAGGGGCTACAATGGAGGAGGGGCTGCACTAAAGGAGGGGCTGCAATGGAGGAGGGGCTGCACTGGAAATGTGCATCCAATTTTGTCTCTGAGAATATCACATAGTTAAGACCCCGTTATCTTCTATGGTGTGACTCTCATACCACATTCCCCAAAGATATGAGAAGAGTTGTTCTAATTTGCTCACCACCGCAATCTAACCCCGGCACACTGAAGATTCATATTCTAAGTCACAAGAGTTTCTGCAGCTGCTGAAGGATCACTCATGTGGTAAGTAACAGAAAATGACCTTTATGCGCCAAAGAAGCAAAGAGAGAATTCTGAAAGCTAACCTATCACTTGATGCTGGGACAAACATTCTTTACAACTACAGCAAGGGGGGAACTTACTTCCTGATATCCTGAGCCTCTCTGTTGTCAGCTCTGAAAAACTCATGGCTGCGGTACTTGTTGGTCTTTGCCCGTCGGTACTCTCCAACATTAAACACTGAAGAATGTTAACAACAGACATTACACACCGAAAATATTAGCATAAGATATTATTACTGAAAATGTTACAAGGCATTTAATAATTGAAAATGTTACAAGGCATATTCAATAATTGAAAATGTTACAAGGCATTCAATAAATGAAAACGTTACAAGGCATTCAATAATTGAAAATGTTATAAGGCATTCAATAAATGAAAATGTTACAAGACAAACACTGACACTTATTTTTAACTTCACTGCATGAGATTTTTCATGAAGTATCAGGAATTATCTCCTACTTGTCTGCATTCACCAGCTGTAACCACACACACATGCACCATTTTTATCTTTCAAGTCTGTGATACATCTTTTATCTGACATTGATAAGTCAAGATACTTTAACTGCTGTACTTGTAGTAAAGGAGAATTTTTTTCTTTCAAGTCTGTGATACATCTTTTATCTGACATTGATACGTCAAAATACTTTAACTGCTGTACTTGTAGTAAAGGACCATTTTTATCTTTCAAGTCTATGATACATCTTTTATCTGACATTGATGCGTCAAGATACTTTAACTGCTGTACTTGTAGTAAAGGACCATTTTTATCTTTCAAGTCTGTGATACATCTTTTATCTGACATTGATGCGTCAACATATTTTAACTGCTGTACTTGTAGTAAAGGACCATTTTTATCTTTCAAGTCTGTGATACATCTTTTATCTGACATTGATATGTCAAGATACTTTAACTGCTGTACTTGTAGTGAAGGACTATATACATCTTCTGACATTGATGCCTCAAGATACTTTAACTGCTGTACGTGTAGTAAAGGACCGTTTTTATCTTTCAAGTCTGTGATACATCTTTTATCTGTCATTGATGCCTCAAGATACTTTAACTTCTGTACTTGTAGTAGAATTTTGATCTTTCAAGTCTGTGATACATCTTTTAACTGACATTGATGCGTCAACATATTTTAACTGCTGTACTTGTAGTGAAGGACCATATACATCTTTTATCTGACATTGATGCGTAAAGATACTTTAACTGCTGTACTTGTAGTGAAGGACCATGTACATCTTTTATCTGACATTGATGCGTAAAGATACTTTAACTGCTGTACTTGTAGTGAAGGACCATATACAGCTTTTATCTGACATTGATGCGTAAAGATACTTAAACTGCTGTACTTGTAGTGAAGGACCATATACATCTTTTATCTGACATTGATGCGTTAAGATACTTTAACTGCTGTACTTGTAGTGAAGGACCATATACATCTTTTATCTGACATTGATGCGTAAAGATACTTTAACTGCTGTACTTGTAGTAAAGGACCATTTTAAAGACAGGGGTGCACCAGGCACACGATGCTAGAATCCAATGTTTGACTCTTCGCTAGCTGCTGAGGAGAGGGATGCAGCTTTTACAGGATTGTCAAGAGCGCTGTGATGTCAAATCTTTACCCAGAAGAATCCCAGATATTTTATAGACCAGTCAGCATTTTGTGGCTGTTGATATGGTCAACATCACACTGACCACATTTACTTCCTAGGACATTACCTGGTACCTAATAAGGCTTTGTCAACCTGGCAGCCAAAGTCAGCTTTGAAAAAGAACAAAACTAAGGCTGAATCCCTTTTCTAATCCAAGACCGTGCGCTGGCAGCTGAGCATCCAGCTAGTTCTCCCATGACAATAACAAAAAACTGCCACAGCTGCCTGTGTGGACCACTTTTGCTGTGGAACAGTTCGCACAATATAGCGCTGTGCCCTTGTGGGATGCAATTTTTAGTTATTTTGAAGCCCACCCTGGCTTTTGCTGGGGGGCGCTAAAAATAGCCGGGCCTTAAATATGACCTAGCGGCTGAACAGGATTTCTGGGACCAGTCCACGAGTGATCCTCATCCGCATAGTGGCACTTTGTGTCACCGGACGTTTATCGCTTGTGTGTTGTCCTGGTGGAGTACAACTTATCTACTTACCTACGATTCCTGTGCAGGCTAGATGATCTCTGAGCCTGAGCCTTTAGTGCCGTGCAGTTAGAATTTTTATCTTACCGAGGTTGGACGGGGTCTTCCACATAACAGTCCAGCGTTCTTAATCATTTGGCTAGCCATTTCTCACTTATGGTTCAACTTGTATTATGATGACTTAATACTATCCCTGGCACTTTTTAAAATCAGTTTCCTGTTGTGCTCACTGTACAATAAAAATACAATAAAATACCCATACATGCACACACGCACACACACACACACCCATAAACACATACATTGAAATACACTTACACAAAATTATGTCTACAGCTGCATTCACACACATATGCATATTATATACATACGCACACATATATAGACATAAGCACACACTCACTAATGAAAAATATATGGCACCTAACACTAAAATACCTTTAGTAGAAACTCCAATCCAGTTGAGGTATCTGGTCAGCTTCTTAGAGATGTAGGTCTTCCCCCTGGCTGGCAGGCCAACCATGGCAATGACAGTAGGTGCCCGCAGTACATGCGGACATGATGCTGAAGTACAAGAACACAGGCGATCAGAAAATACAGTAACAGGGAACAAACATTACCAAAGAATAGTCTGAGGAAAGCAACCAAGCAAGGGTATATCCAAGAGTATTTGCTAGCAGCTGAAAGCGGACTGCAAAATGGACACTCAGATTATTGCTGGAACTGTCATTTCATGAACTTGTGAGGTAACCCAAACACCAGTGAAGCTTCCATAACATGGGCTAAGCAGACACCATCTCTGGAACTTTCCATGACATGGGCTTTGCAGATATTCATTTGAACTTCCATGACACAGGCTTTGGAGATATTTATTTGAACTTAAATGACACAGGCTTTGGATATATTTATTGGAACTTTCATGACACAGGCTTTGGAGATATTTGTTGGAACTCCCATGACACAGGCTGGGTAGACCATCCCTGAAACTTTCCATGACATGGGCTTTGCAGATATTCATTTGAACTTCCATGACACAGGCTTTGGAGATATTTATTTGAACTTTAATGACACAGGCTTTGAAGATATTTATTGGAACTTCCATGACACAGGCTCTGGAGATATTTGTTGGAACTCCCACGACACAGGCTGGGTAGACACCATCCCTGAAACTTTCCATCACATGGGCTTTGGAGATATTTATTGGAACTTTCATGACACAGGCTTTGGAGATATTTATTGGAACTTTCATGACACAGGCTTTGGAGATATTTATTGGAACTTTCATGACACAGGCTTTGGAGATATTTATTGGAACTTTCATGACACAGGCTTTGGAGATATTTATTGGAACTTTCATGACACAGGCTTTGGAGATATTTATTGGAACTTTCATGACACAGGCTTTGGAGATATTTATTGAACTTCCATGTCACAGGCTTTGGAGATATTTATTGGAACTTCCATGACATAGGCTTTGGAGACCCATAACTGCAAAATTCTGTGTCATGGTCTTTAGAGATCCACTCACATCTCTTGAAGAGCTGAGATAATGGGTTTTAAAGCTTTTATACCATCCAGTAAATGGTAGAAACATCATGAACATTGGTACATGGAATGTCAGAACACTCGTACAAAACGGAAAACTGGATAACATCAAGATGGAAATAAAGAGAATGAACATCAACATACTAGGAATTAGTGAAATGAGATGGCCAGGAGCAGGGGAAAAGTATTCAGATCAGCACAGAATTATCTACTCGGGTGGGAAGGAATATAGTAAGGGAGTTGGTATTATTTTGGATCCAAAGAACTCAAAAACTGTTAAAGGATTTTGGACAATATCAGATAGAGTACTATTAGTAAAACTTCGCGGCAGACCGTTTGACATCAACTTAGTACAGATTTATGCCCCAACAGCAGATAGTTCAGAGGAAGACATTGACGCATTTTATGATGAGTTAGAAAAGGCTGTTGATCAATGCAAAAATTGTGAAGTAACAATGGTACTTAGAGATTTCAACGCAAAAGTAGAAAGTGAAAAAGTGTACGGAATAACGGGTGGCTATGGACTAGGAGAAAAGAATGTGAGAGGTGACAGATTAATAGCATGGGCTGAGTCGCGCAGCATGATAATAAGTAACATCTGGTTTAAACACCATCCTCGAAGATTGTGGACATGGAAAAGTCCTGGTGATAATGTCCGCAATCAGATTGATTATATTTTGATTTCAAGAAGATTCCAGAGCAGCTTAGTTGGAGCAAAAACTAGACCAGGGGCAGACTGCTTTAGTGACCATGTTCCAGTTGTAGGAAAAATTAGAATAAAACTAAAGAACATTAGAAAAACACCACAGAACATCAAGTTAAATTTAGGAATTCTTAGAACGGATAAAGAAATTAAGGAACAGTACAACGTCACTGTACAAAACCGGTATAATGCAATGGAAATTATACAGACTATTGATGAACAGTGGGATATGTTGCGTGAGTTAATTCAGCAGACATCAAAAGAGACAATCCCATCAACCCATACAGTTGCAAAAAAGAAATGGATGTCAACCGAAATTCTGCAGTTGATGGATAAAAGAAGGAAGAAAAAGAATGATAAAGAAGAATACTCTAGAATACAACAAGAAATAGTGAACAAATGCAAAGTGGCTAAAGAAGCCTGGCTGAATCAAATGTGTACAGAGATTGGGGAAAATCACGGGAAAGACTCACATTCCATGTACCAACAGATAAATATGTTAACAGGAAAGATGACACGTAACAGCACTGGATGTTTGAAATCAAAAGATGGTGACTTATTAATGGGACATAGTAATATAATTAACAGATGGACAGAGGGGAATTGTATGATGATAATAGACCAGATGTAGAACTGCAGACCAACAATGATGGTCCACCAATAATGACTGCAGAAGTTGAGGATGCAATACATCATATGAAGAAAGGAAAAGCACCCGGGCCAGACAACATCTCACTGGAAGAAATCGAAGCACTGGGAAATTTTAGAATTGAAATAATAACTAAACTTTTAAATGATATTTATAATAGTGGGTATATTCCAAATGACCTTTTAAAATCCATATTTATAGCTCTGCCGAAGAAACCAGGCACTTTAAAATGTGAAGACCATCGCACAATAAGTCTTATGAGTCACATGACTAAGATTTTACTGAGAATAATTATGAGAAGAATAAGAAACAAAATTAAACCAGAAATCAGCGATGAACAATGTGGATTTGTAGAAGGAAAAGGTACAAACAATGCCATATACATACTAAGGACATTGTCAGAAAGAGCTATAGAAGTAAAGACTGATTTGTACTTATGCTTCATAGACTATACAAAAGCATTTGACTGTGTGAAGCATGAAGAAGTAATCAAACTGTTAGAAAAATTAAACATTGATGGGAAAGATCTAAGAATAATAAAGAATATGTATTGGCAGCAAACAGCAGCTATAAGAATAAACAACTGTTTAGGTACATTTCAAAGCATAAAGAGGGGCGTACGACAAGGATGTGTACTTTCACCTGATTTGTTTTCAATATACAGTGAATATATTATGAGATCTTTAATTGATATGCCCGGAATCGTGGTTGGTGGGCACAATATAAACAATTTACGTTATGCTGATGACACAGTCTTGATAGCAACAAGTCTGAAAGAATTACAGGGAAATGATAGACATTGTGGTGTTAGAAAGTGGAAGAATGGGCCTCAGTCTGAATAATGGGAAGACAGAAGTAATGGTGGTATCAAAGAAACAAATTATTCCTAAATGTGTAATAAAAGTCAATGGTGTTATTTTAAGACAAGTACAGAAATTTAAGTATCTGGGCACATGGATAACATCAGATGGAAGATGCATAACTGAAATAAGAAACAGAATTGGACAGGCAAAAACTGCATTTTATAAAATGAGAAACATCTTGTGCAATATATCCTTGTCATTGAGAGTTAGAAAAAGAATTCTTGCTTGCTACATACATCCAGTTTTAACATATGGATGTGAATCCTGGACAATCGGTAGGCAGGCCAAACAATTTTTAGAGGCCTCAGAGATGTGGTTTTACAGAAGAATGCTTAGAATACCTTGGACAGCCAAAAAGAGCAACCAAGAGGTTTTAAAAGAGGCAGGAGCCCGAAGACAACTTATCACTGACATCAGAAGGATACAGTCATCATTTTTCGGCCATGTTATGAGAAGAGGGAAAATAGAACATGTTGTGACCACTGGAAAGATCTGTGGAAGGACGGATAGAGGAAGACAACGAGAGAAGATGCTTGACAGTCTTGTTGCATGGCATGGAGGTGTGTCGGCACACGAACTGATACATGCTGCAGGAGATCGCGGATTATGGAGAGGCATGATCGCCCATGCCAGTCGGCAAGGCACCTGATGATGATACCATCCATAAAACTGTTGTGGCAAGGACTTGGAAGAGAGACAACTTCCAATGCATGGACTATGAAGAGATACACAACTTCCATGGCATGACTTAAGGGGCCCGGCAAAACATCCATGGCATGGACTCTGAAGACATCATTATATGACAGTATCCAAGATCCTCTAGTCTCAGAAACTCTCAAACTCATCAATTATATCTCTGTATGTATGTGTACAGACATGTCAGTGAGTGACCACTATTTCAAGACAAAGTGAAAACTTTGTGTACTGTGTTCAACAGTTAGTCTGGTGTTACAAATGATTTTTAATAAACAATGTCAGAGTTTTAATAATGTATCCTCAGTGTTTAGGTATTTCCATGTGAACTTTCTATGGCTTATTGCATCCAGAGTCAATGTTCAGTGCTGTATAGTTGTGTGCACCAGATATGTGCAGTGATCATTTCAGCAGTCTCTCTCTCTCTCTCTCTCTCTCTCTCTCTCTCTCTCTCTCTCTCTCTCTCTCTCTCTCTCTCTCTCTCTCTCTCACGCACGCACGCACGCACGCACGCACGCACACACACACACACACACACACACACACATATATATATATATATATATATATATATATATATATATATATATATATATATATATATATATATATATAAGGAAAATGCCGTTGCCAAACTATTTGTCTCCTAAATTGATTGGTCATCGTGACAAGTTGCCGACAAAAACAATAAGACGAGAAATGCAGAAAGCACGGACCGACGGACAATTAGATATAAACATAATGACTACAGTCGAGATGATATCGAAGTAGTAAATATAAAACTGTTTTTTTATTTCTTTCTCATCTTCAGATGATCTTTGGAGCTCAGATATTTCGTAGGGAATTCACTAGGAAGTCTAATATGGGGGTGGGAGGGGTGGGGTGGGGGGGGGGGAACTAAGTGTTAGCTAGTTATTTCACAGCCTAACATCCCTATATTACTGGACATTACTGGGAATTCCCTACGAAATCTCGGAGCCCCGAAATGGGGTGTAATTTAAAAAAAAACAACAACACTATAATTAGAAAGGTCGACGAAAGGAACTAAAGGGCACAAATACAACTAATCT